GGAGAGGATATGCAGCAAGACCCAATAAATTCTGCTGCTGCTGCTGCTGCTGCTGCTGCTGCACTGCTGCTCTCAGCAGCTGCTGCCCTTGCCGCAGAGGACGAAGGAAGCGGTCGGCCTCCACGAAGGCTGGGGGGGGGTCGAGACCCCCCTCCTGCTGCTGCAGCCATGTGCTGCTGCTGCTGCTGCTGCTGCTGCTGCTGCTGCTGCTGCTGCTGCTGCTGAGCGAGAGAGAAGAAGGCTTAATCAACACACAGTGAGCGAAGAAGGGGGCAGATACACCCCAAATAATAAAAAAAAGAAAATTCATTTTTAAAAAATTAAATAAAAACACAAAAAATATTAAAATACACAAAAGGCATTGCTATCGAGACACCCGGTGGAGTCGTCGCTGCTGCAGCAGCAGCAGCAGCAGCAGCAGCAGCAGCAGCAGCAGCAGCAGCAGCAGCAGTGAAATATGCAGATATAGAGTGCTTCTTGGACTGAAATGGATCAAAAAAACGGCTTCTTTTTATATAAATTAAATAAAAAAAAGAAAATAAAATAAAAATACAAAAATATAAACAAAAAACACAGAAGAAGGCGGGAGCAGAGCAGCAGCAGCAGAAGGCCGGTGCCGCTGCTGCTGCTGCAGCTCTCGACCCATCGGCAGCGTTCTTCGTCTTCTATAGAATGAAATAAATATTAATTATATTTTTTTATTTAATTAAACCCTTTTTATTTTTATATTTTAAAATAAATTAAACAAATCAAGAATGTTTACACGCAGAAAAAGAAGCGGCGTAGCTGCATGTACACCCCAGAGCCCCCCAGACCGGTCCATCGTCCTTACCTTCTGCTGTATTTCATCATTCTTTTTCTTTTTTTTTAATTTAAAAAACAAAAATAAAATAAAATAAACAAATAAATACAAGGATTTAATATTATACACAGCATAAACCAACCAACGACACACACAGACACCCCCATAGATACATAGCTACACACCGAGCCAGTAGCTAGCTGTAAGAACATACAAACAGCTAGCTGCGAGCTGGGTGAAGAGGGGGGGGGTTCTGGCTAGCTGTGCAGCAGCAGCCAGCTAGCTGTGATCCCCCTCGCGGCTAGGTGTGCAGCAGCAGGAGCTACCGCTAGCTAGCTGTGTATATACACAGCTAGCTAGCTAGCTGCGTACACACACAGCTAGCTAGCTGCGTAGACGCAGCTAGCTGAAACTACCCGTGCAGCTAGCCATGACGGATCCTGCTTCAGTGGCTAGCTAGCTAGCTAGCTAGCTGGCTAGCTAGCTAGCTAAAAAAGAAAGAGGAGAAAAACAAATAAAAACAAAAGAGAAAGAGAACACAAACAAATAAAAACAAAAAGAAAGAAAACACAAACAAATAAAAACAAAAACAAAAACCGGAAGAAACAAACTGCTGCTGCTGCAGTAAAACTGCAGCAGCAGCAGCAAACGAACGAAAACAAACTCAGCAAAGATATAATGAAATGGAAAAACACAAACCCTAAACCCTAAACCCTAAACCCTAAACCCTAAAAAAATTAAAACAAAATGAAATGAGAAAACAACGCGCTAGCTGTCATTGCTGTCTGCAGCTGTTTCTGTTGCTGCTGCAGCTCTCGCTGCTGTTGCAGCTGCTGCTTCTATCTGTGCTGCTGCTGCTTCTGTCTGTGCTGCTGCAGCAGCTGCTGCTGCAGCAGCTGCTGCTGCTTCGGCGTATCGGCAGCTGCTAATGAGGAGCAAAACCCTAAACCCTAAACCCTAAACCCTAGGCCCTAAACCCTAAACCCTAAACCCAAATCTACTGTGGCAACAGATGAGGTGTCTGTACACTGCAGACGCCATTAACGAAAAACGAAATTATGAAGACAATTAAAATGCGATCCAAACGGTGTTGTTGTTGTTGTTGCTGCTGCTGCTGCTGCTGCTGCTCTAGCAGCAGCAGCAGCAGCAGCAGAAACTTTCGCTGATGCTTCCGCTTGTAGAGAATGCTTCCAACATCTGTCTGTTGTTGCTGCTGCTGCACAACAGCAGCAGCAGCAACCTGCTGCAGCAGCAGCAGCCTTTGCTGCTGCTGCACCACCACCACCACCGCCACCACCACCACAACAGCAGCAGCAGCAAGAAGAAACTCGCCAAGAACAATGAAAACAAAGAATAAAAATTAAAAAAAATAAAAATAAAAATAAAAATTTATGTTCTTTCTGTGTAATCATAGTCTGTTCTGGGTTCATCGTGTTCGTCAGCCTGTAGGGTGCGGCGAAGGAGAGCGGCAAACTGTTCTATATTTTCATCATCATTTATATTAAGAGGATAAAAAGAAATTAAATTAAATTCTTCTAATAAAGAACCAAAACTACGATGCAACGCCGCAAAACGCTCCGGCATGTTTACCTGCGTATACACCCGAGCGCGCACGGTGGTGGAGCTGCCTATACACCCGAAATATGTAGAAATCCTCGTGAAATATTTTCACGTTTTTTCGTGTTTTTTCACTTTTTTTCACGTAAATTCATTTGTTTTATTATTTTAATTGTATTTAGAGCAACATTTTGATGGGTTTATGTGTTCATACACCTCAATACTACGACAGCAGCTGCATATACACCCCAGCTGTATATACACCACATAAAGTAGTAGCTCCATATACACCCCAACCACTAACACAGCTGCATATACACCCCATCAACTGCCTATACACCTCACTAACATAAAAACAGCTGCATATACACTGCAGCAACAAAACACATCTGTGCATACACCCCAACCACATAAGATACAACAACAGCAGCAACAGCAGCAGCAGCAGATCAACAGCAGCAGCAGCTCAGCAGCAGCAACAGCAGCAGATCAACAGCAGCAGCAGCAAAAACACCAGAACAAAACACCAGCAGCAGCAACAAAAACACCACCACCACCAGCACCAGCACCAGCACCACCATCACCACCATCACCAGCAGCAGCAGCAGCAGCAGCAGGAGCAGCAGCAGCAGGAGACAGAGTGTATACTTACATCTAATTCATCGACAACTTGCTGCACATCTCTGCTGAGCAGCTGCTGCAGTATAATATCTTCTTCTGTTGCTGCTGCATCTGCATCGTCCATATGAAGGCCAAACCCTGAGGTGTCTAGGCACCTCCCGCCCCACTGTCTCCCCTCCTCCTCCTCCTCCTCCTCTTCTGTCTCTGTCTCTTCTTCTGTCTCTGTCTCTGTCTCTTCTTCTGTCTCTTCTGCTGCTGCTGCTGCTGCTGCTGCTGCTGCTGTTT